ATAGAAAAGAATCACCCCCCTTTAAAATAATCACATTTTGTTGCTTTGCAGCCTGAAATGAAGACGGACACAATTTTTGGTTTATCCAGCTATATTTACTCAGTGCAACTTATAACATCCAAGTGAAAGATATAACACCAACATGAAGAAAGAAAAAAAAAAGCAGAATCATCTAGTTGGAAAAAGGATCACTCCTCTTGTGTCAGTATTTTGTTGAACCACCTTTTGCTTTAATTACAGCCTTTAGTCTGTTGGGATTTCTCTCTACTAACTTTGCACATCTAGACCTTGCAATATTCCACTCTTTTTTGCAGACCTGCTCAAGTTCAGGTAATTTGATGGGGACCATTTGTGGACTGCAGGCTTCAAGTCATTCTACAGATTTTCAATGAGGTTTAAGTCAGGGCTCTGACGAGGCCATGCAAGGACATTCACCTTTTTCTCCTGCAACCACTGTGTGCTCAGTTTTGCTGTCCAAATCCAAAATGTACATAAAAATAGGTGGATGGAAACATAAACTGACAACATTCTGGCAGAGGGCAGCAGATTTTCCTCAAGAATTTGACAGTATTTTGCCCCATCCATTTTTCCTTCTGTCCTGACAAGTGCTCCAGTCCCTGCTGCAGAGAAACACCCCTATAACAGGATATTACCACCTCCATGCTTTACTGGAGGAATGCTGTTATTTGGATGGTGCAAAGCTCAGTCGTGACTGCATGGGGCCTTTCTTGAGGACTGTTTTTTTTCTTGTAACGTTCCCATACAAGCCATTTTTTTGGAGAATTTGTGATATTGTTGTCACATGCACACAATGACCACTCTTTGTCAAATTCCTGCAACTGCTTGGTCGCCTCTCTGATCAGTTTCCTCCGGCTATTTCATCCAGTTCGGAGCGATGTCCTGATCCAGGGAGGGTCTGTGTTGTACCAAATACCTTCCACTTCCTTATAATAGACTTGACTGTGCTTCTAGGCATTGATAAAGCCTTTGAATTTTTTTGTATCCATCTCCTGACTTGTGCCTGTCCACAACTTTATCCCGGAGATCTTTTTGAAGACAGTTTGCTTCAGTTGCGCTACCAAGGACTGAGATGCTCCAGGAGCTCATCGCTCTGAGATGCTCCAGGAAAGCTCTTTTCATGTTGAGCTAATCAAAATGAACACAGCTGATTACAGTTGAAAGTCAAATGGCTTTGTGTGCCATTGAGTAGGTGATTATCCGAGATTGTGCGTATTATTCTGTGTTACTTCTGAAGCCATACAATAGCTTAAAGGTTTACTCCACCCCAAAATGAAAATTTTGTGATTAATCACTTACCCCCATGTTGTTCCAAACCTGTAAAAGCTTAATTCATCTTCGGAACACAATTTACGATATTTTGGATGAAAACCGAAAGGCTTGTGACTGTCCGATTGACTGCAAAAATAACGACTTTATTCAACAATTCGTCTCCTCTGTGTCTCACCGCATCACCGTAACGCCATTTTGGAGAAAATCCGCTGAACGCAAGCAGCGTAACATTACGCTCTTCAGTGTCAGCCGCGCTGCACGGATGTGCTGATTTTGTTCAAATCAAAGCGTAAATACACGTAGAAACCGTATCCCTTTAATGTGGCTTCAAGCGCATCATTCTGCACACCGGATGCGCATATTGTAAGCACTTCATGCCGCACTGTATTTGTTTTGTCCTATCGAATCTATCATATGTTGTAGCCTTATTAAAAAATATGCTATACATTTAAAAGAAATGTATTTTAATTTTACAGTATATACTTGTATATAAATACATTCATGAATGTTTTTCAGTAATGGATTTTATAATACAAATAGCAATGTGTAATATTTGACCATATTTAGTGCAACACTTTTATTTGTTCCCCACAAAATATAGTTTTTTCACTAAATGTTTGGATTTCTAAAATTATTGTGCACTGATTTTTCTAGAATAACTTTTGCTGCCGAATTATCCACTAACCTAGTTTATGATACATTTTTGTCATAGATTATAAATATACATAGGCCTATATTTTTTCATATTTATTGTT